GAAATTATTGATCTCAATTTCGTTTTTACATATTATTATGTTCTTATCCGATGCAATATATTGCTTCATAAAATACAAAAAAAAAATATTATGGATAATACATGTAGAATATTACAAAGAATAATTATATATTAACATATGTTGAGAGAAAAAAAAGGCACAGATGCTCAGCATACTAAGGGAGAGGAAGAAAATAAAAAGAACTAACAACATAGAAATCATGAAACAGAAAATGGAAAGACGGAATTGGAGAGTAATCTATGAATCATGCATAGAGAGTAGAGAACTCGAGAAACAAGCACGTTAATTAGAAAGAGAGTTATCAATATCGATCAAATAGATCATACAGCACATCGTTTGTTCCAAGCATGCTAAAAAAACGCAATACTTTAGGATTTTTCATTTTTATACTGAATTTAGAAGACGAACCGATATGCATTAATTTGCATAGTAAGTCGAGTTTTATCGATTGGTATTGAATTCAATTTGAGTAGTGAAAAAATTTTAAATGAAAGATTGTAAATATTGATTGATGAATTTGCAACTTTCTTTAAGCATATGTTAGAGAAATGGTTCAGTCATTCAATCCTATCCGATCTGAAGTAAATCTTTAGATCATATCAGTCAAGATTGTTCTATTTTATACAAAGAGTCTAACTTATTCTGTGACCCAATTATAAATCTCTTGACCACCTATGTTTTCGCTTCTTTTTTGGAACTTTTGTTTATTTTCGAGGATAACAGTGAATGTAAATTATAAGTTCAAGTTTCAGCAACTTCCTCTTTCTTTATAGGCGCTTATCAACTAGGTCTTAACTAACGAGTATGCATAGATGTATATATAACGATGTCATCTGCCATATAATTCAACGCTTACGACAAAAATGTCATATTGAAGAATAAAGAATTATTAAAAATGAAAGATTCTGAGTGTATAAAAACGACAAAAAAGGACATCTGTCAGAAAATGAAAAAGTTCGTAATTTTCTACTATCTGTTTCATAGTAGTATAATGAAGCTGAAGAAAATACGTAAGTTCCATATATCAGCTCTTTTGAGGCAGCGCTAACAGACCTCTTTTCGGTTTTCTTCTTGCTGTATTTTAATCTTCTATTTTACAACTTTGATTTCTATATAAAACCACCTTCTTTTAATCACCAATCATGTAGCACAAGTCTGTTGATAGTTAGGTAAATTGCAATAGGACATTTGGAAAATTTATCAAAGCTTCTCGTACCTGAATTATAAATTTATTGTTTCAATAACGTTTCTGATACATTTAAATAAAAAAATATCTCTTTGAAAGAATAAAAGTATCTACAAGTGCCTGGTACATGCATTTAATTAGCGTTACTAACGAATCATATACCATAGCTTATAGGTAATTCGCATTATTTGATTGAAAATTTCACTAGTTTATAATGCATTTCACAACAGAAACTCCAATAAAAAAGAAAATATAAATAATTTAATATTGTTCAAAAGTATCGATGTAGAAATGTTAGCAATATATCAGACAGTACTTGAAATTAATATAAATAAATGAATTTTTATTCGTATAACAATCTATTATTGATTTTTTTTTCGGATTTAACCATGTAAAAATTCCCATACGATATCAATAGCATTTATCACTCAAGAAACTTGAATAAAGGAAAGGGATTTTGGATCTACGCTAATAAGATTTTCGCCAAATAGCACTTTCGTCAGTGGCAAAACTCCATTGTGTTTTCGCCCATTGACCCACTGGAATATCGCCAATTGGCGAAAGTCTTATTGGCGAAGTTCCGGTAACCCAAAGGAAACATGTTGTCAGATATCTGTAATGTGTGCTCAAAAATCTAAAAAAAAAAACTTTTTTTCTGAACGGAATACATACAAGTTAAGTTTCCGTCTTTAATTAACAAATATGAATTGCCGAACGATATTATAGTCACAAAGTACTGTAACAGCTGCTCAGATTGTAAAAATGTTGATTTTTAAAGACTGTTTCCTTTGTATACAGAATTTTGCTTTTGAAAAATTTCTTTCTAAATAGGCTCTACATTGCCATTATAAAAGCTAACAATTTTATCTAATTTTTCATTAATTGTCATTTTTTCTTCTCTTATATGAGAGAGTGAACGTTGTAACGCATTCATTTTTCCTGGAGTTTGATCAGTCATTAAAATTTTAGCATAAAAGTTGAATTCTCATTGGGATCTCTAATTAGTAATAATATTGCAAAATGTGCTTATAACTGCTGATTATACCTATTATATAATCATTCCACAAGAAGAAAATATTCTGAAAATAAAAATTCTATTATCTTGTTTTTCATCAATATTCAATGTAAATCTAGTTTTATCTATTCACATGCAACTCATGAAAAACGTTGGAATAGTATTGCCTTTACTCTTGACTATCGGCATCAATGCTCATTTTATTCTGATACACACTGATGAACAATCTTTATTGTCTTTATATCATGTTCTATATTATGATTGTCTCTATTTTCATTCAATCGATGATAGAATAGATCTCAATGATTATGTTATTTCTCGTCAGCATTTAATTCCCTACTGTCGTCGACCTCATGTAGACGATCGAATTGAAAATTTAACGGATGCACGAGGTCACATGTTTCTGTTCAATGATTTATATAAACGAGGCGTGACCAGTATGGATCTTCTTTCTTGGTTCGCTCCACTTGATGTCGCTGAGCGCTATGAAAAAAGCCGTGGCACAAATTCAAACGATATTTTCTATAATTGTTCTTCACCATGGTTTGGTTCTCATTGTCAATATAGATTCGAAGACAATAGCTCTATATCATTTGTTGAAATCGTTCGTAGTACATTTCAACAACGAGACCTGATGTGTTTGGATATTGAGAACAGCTCATGCTATCCTTTTTTACCGACTTGTGATCGTGGTCCGCCACCAATTTGCCTTGATTGGCGCGAAATTTGTGATGGTAAATCCGATTGTATCAATGGAGAAGATGAACAATTCTGCGGTCAATTGGAAGTGACCGAATGTTTACCTGATGAATATCGATGTCACTATGGTGGACAGTGTATTCCACTGGCATTTCTATATGATGGCATCCAGAATCTCGATTGTTTGGATGGAAGCGATGAGAAAGCGTTTCCTTTCATAATGGAAGATAATATAAAATACGACAATTGCATAGAAAATCCACTGTTTGAGTGTGAGGAACGTATTTGCCGACATCGCTACTCGTTTTCATGTGGAACTGGAGAGTGCATTTTACAAGAGCCGACATTCGGTGATATTACTAACTGTCGTGGTTCTCGTTTAATACAAGAGTACAATGCATTGCTTCATGCAAATGAAGAGTGTCACCAAACATTATTATGTTTATTGGGACTTCCAACACAGTGGATACACGATTGTGTAGTAATCGTCAATGATTCTTCTGCAACTAATAATTGTCACATGTTGGCATCACAATGTACTTCTGAATGGGTTGCTCTACCTTCACAACCAATTCTATTTGGCTTTTTTCAATTCATCTATTTGACAAATCGATCAATCGACGAATTTAAAAGAAATATTCTACCAGATTTTGTCTGTTTTGATTCTAAACGTTGTCCAGGATTGTTGCAATTTATTGTTGTTAGCAATTTCAATAATGGATTAACATGTTGTCATCGAGACGACCTTCCAGAAGAAATTTCAAATAAAGAAGTGACCAGTTTTTATCAAATTGAAAACGTTTTTCAATCTCTTGTTCAAAGATGTTTAACTATTGGTCGCGAATATTCTTGTTCAGATTCATCTCTATTTTATTGCTCGAAATCGATGAAATGTATTTCATATCATCGTCTCGTTGATGGTATTCAAGATTGTTTTTTTGGAGAAGATGAATCATATTTTGCTTGTTCTTTGAATAATTCAAATCGGTTTATCTGTGCATCTGATTCTGCTAAATGTTTATCATTGGTTGCCGTTGGTAATGGCATCCAAGATTGCCCTTTTGGAGAGGATGATCCTTATATATATATGGCTGCAGAGTACACTCAAGTAACCTATTCAAAATTTTGCGATGGCTCACTCTATGGACCATATATCAATAATGATTACGTCGATGAGATGTACTGTGAATATTGGCCTTGTAACACGCCTTATACCCGATGTGATGGTTATTGGTCCTGCATGAATGGTATCGATGAATTGAACTGTCCTTTTAATTCATGCCCATTAAATCATCATGCATGTCATAGTTATTGGCTCGAAAATTTTATTTGTCTACCATTTGAACATTTGTACGATGAAATTTCTAATAATTGTTCTTTTGATGGAACACCATTGAAACGTCATGTTTACTTTGATAATGAAACTAAAACAAACAAGAATGATATGCTTGCATGGTACTCTAATACCTGTATCACATTAGACAAACTTTGCCATTCGACTTTCTTGCAATCAAATAACAGTGAGGAAACTCTTCTTACATGCTACTATTCTAGCTACCATTCATCACCAGATGAAATCACAAAATACAATGGAGAATATCTCTGTGATCAATTTTGGAGCAATCCAGGAGAATACCAAGGACAGGTTTTCTCAACATCATATTTAGGTTTCATTCCTCCAACATTGACTATTCCAGTAATAAAACCAACCGTAACGATAAATTTAGAAGTACCCAAAACATACCATATTGATATCACACTAAATCAGTACTGTCATCGAGGCATTTTTCTTCGATTTGGATCGAATGAAGAGAAAAAATGTCTTTGTCCACCGAGTTCATTTGGTGATCGATGTCAATGGCAAAGCCAACGTGTCAGTTTGACTCTTCAACTCAACTTTCGTAGTGTAACAAGGAAGAGAGCAGTCTTTCAAGTAATTGTCATGCTAATCGATGAAGATGGACATATTGCACCGAATATAGAGCAATTGACATTTGTACCCGCTCGTGATTGTGGTATGAAATATAATCTTTATCTACTTTATCCAGATCGACCAAAAGATTCATCAAAGAACTATTCTGTACATATTGATGTGTTTGATCGTTTGACATTAAATCATCATGTCAGTTGGCATTTATCAATACCTTATTCATTTTTGCCTGTTAATCGTTTAGTTGCTCGATTGACTATTCCAGATCAAATACAATTCGAAGATTGTTCATTAGATTGTGGTTCTCACGGCCAATGTCGACGTTATGATAATAAGAAAATGTTATTCTATTGTCAATGTGATTCAGGATACTCCGGATTAAATTGTAATCAATCACATCTATGTTCTTGTACAAATGATGCACGATGTCTTGCATCAACACATTGTCTGTGTCCATTGCATCGTTTTGGTCGTTACTGTTTCCTTGAACATATTGCCTGTCAGTTGAACAAGAGCCCTTGTCAAAATCAAGGATTATGTGTACCTGGCGACACACGTTGGACACTGAAAGAGTTTATATGTCTTTGTCGAGATGGTTACACAGGTTCAACTTGTGAAAATATCACTAATCGTATTGAAATTAAATTGGAACATCATTTACTTGAAACTATATCATCTCTCGCCATTCATTTAATAACGATGTTTACTTCAAAGAAACATGAACGAGTTACTTTATTTAAAAAAATTCCGATTAATCAAGATACCATTACTGTTCATATTGAAAACCCATTTCATATTGTTCTTGCCGAACTATTCAATCATACTTATTATCGATTAATCTTACGCGAAGCATTTATCCCATCAGAATCGATTCATGTTTCATTAAAATCAAATCAACGTTGTCCATCAATTAACGAGCTTGGAAATGAGACTTGGTCAAAATTACCTCTATGGCATAGAGGAAAATATTATCCTCTATTATGTCGACAAAATTCATTGCTTGCATGCTTTTACGATGACACACTCATTTGCATTTGTGATTCATATCGATTCGCCAATTGTTTCGAATTTAATCATTCAATGATATATAATTGTCAAAATTCGAATATATGTGAAAATAATGGGCAATGTCACGTGAATAATGAGACTTGTCCAACAATGCTAATCTGTACTTGTCCCGCTTGTTTCTATGGAACAAAGTGTCAACTTTCAACACGAGGTTTTATTCTATCGCTTGAGTCAATCTTAGGTTATCATATTAAACCTTACGTTAGTTTCCGTCAACAATCGATCAGTGTCAAAGTAACCATTGCAATCCATGCAGTTACTTTTATTATTAGCATCATATCAAATTTACTATCAATTATGACGTTTCGAATGAAAGAAACAAGAAAAGTTGGCTGTGGTTTGTATCTATTGACATCGTCTATAATTTCTCTTTGTATTATTCTCTTATTGACTATCAAAATCTGGTATCTTCTTCTCTCACAAATGGCATTCATTCATAATCGAATATTATTGAAATTTTTTTGTGTATTTACCGATGGTACTCTGAGAATTCTTTCAGCATCATATGACTGGTTAAATGCATGTGTTTCTATTGAAAGACTTCTGACCGTTCGAAAGGGAGCTATATTTAATCAAGAAAAGAGTCGAAAAATTTCCAAACGAGTCATTTTGATTATTCTTTTACTAACAACCTTAACACATCTTCATGATCCATTACATCGACGATTAACCGATGATTTTGATATCGATGAGAAACGAACATGGTGTTTCGTTCAATATTCGTCGTTTCTGGATCGGTTCAACTCGGCAATAGTGTTTTTACATATTCTAATGCCATTGTCAATCAATATGATAGCTGTCATTATCATGATTGTATTAATAGTACATGCTCGATCGAATGTACAACCGCATAAATCAATATATGTACATTTTCGTCAACAACTGAACCATCATAAAAATGTATTAATAACATCCTCTCTCTTAGTTCTA